GGACGAGGAGGAGGAGGAGCAGGATAAATAGAAGGAAGGGGAGTAGGTCGGGGCAGAACGGCGGGCGAGAGAAGAGTCTCCGTCAGGGCGAGAAGGAAAAAAGGGCACTGGCAAGCTGAACGGATTCTCATGCAGGGTCCTTCCGTCGGAATAGTTGGTGGTACCCGCCGGAAATGCATCGTCGCACCGTAGTATACCACCCAGTTTTCGTTCGCCCGCCCGCTTGTGCTTGCGTTACTCGACCGAGGGCCTTCTTGCCGGGTCTTTCGAGCCATTCAGCTTCTTGTGGGTCCGTTGGGTCCGTTACCATGGTAGATCAATTGGGGTACATGGGGCTTTGTGGAGCTCTTATAGCGGTCAACAGATCTCAGGCCCCACTTCTACTACTTGCATATGGTCTCGTTTTGCTTGCCACCCTCGCTGTTATTCTCATTAGCGGTCTTCTCGGTCATGCTCGTTTTCTCGATCCGTTTGGTGATGGCCTTCACCGCGCTAGACGCTAGCCCTTCTCATTGTCAGTGGTTTCCTTCATGTCCTGGTAGTCGCTCTTCGCCTGCAGAAGCTTCTCGCGCATCTGGCTCGTCGGGCTGACCATGCGGTATTTCTATAGCGTCTCCTGGATCTCCTCGATCTCGATGCTCCCGTCGTTGGCGGTCCGTTCGTCCTCTTCCTGCCGGCTCTGCCATCCCAAGGGGTTCCACGTCTTCTCATTGTGCGGGTCGGGTGCTGCCCAGATCTCAGGCCCTCAGGCGACACCCGTTTGCTCTCGTCCCTTTTCTGCCAAACGTGCGCCACACGGGTTCGGGCCCATCTCCGCCGCCCTCCAGGACGTGGCGGGGCTGCACTTGGGCGCAAACATCGAATGCTGGACCGGGTGGAGCGCCGCCACCTACAGGCCGGCGCCCCGCCGATCAGTGTCTGCCAGACACCCGCGCCGTGCTGTTCGGAGCGCGGTCCCTGCGCGAGGCGCGTTTGCTGGCGGAGAGGCGCGTGGCCTACCGGCACGTCGCGGGCGGCATTGTGGGACGCGCGGCGGCTGCTGGTCAGCGGCGCGCGCTGGCGCCCGATGCTGCAGGGGCACTCCGCGCCCTGATTTTCGGGAGCGTGCTGACCGAGACGGTGGCCGCGAAGTGGGGCCAGCCAGTGTTGTGCCCCCGCTGCGGTGTGGCGCCAGAGGGCTTGGAACACCTCCTGTGGCAGTGCCGGGGTGCTGCCCCAGGGCCCGCGGCCGACGACGACGAGGACGGCGCCCCCCTGACCGAGGAGCAGAGGCAGGAGAGGGCTCTGAGAGCCAGGGCGCGCGCCTGGACCGACGGGGCCTGCGCCCCGCCATGCGACACGCTGCGTGCGAGAGCGGGCTGGGGGGTCCGGCTCGAGGCGGCGGGCGCGACGGGTCTCGTCGAGCACTGTGGGCTGGTGGGCGGCGCGCACTGGCTCAGCAGGCGGAGCTCGCCGCGGCGGTTCATCCGCGATCCGCGATGGGTAGAGCCCCGCGGAGTGGGCGCGCGCGGATCTGTGGGAGCGCGTTGCCCCTCATTGCCCCAGCGGCGCTGTACGTGAACGGTGGGTCAAGGCGCATTTGGACGCCGCGGCCGCCCGCCAACGGGGAGTCTCCCCGGAGGACGTCGCTGGCAACGCAACCGCTGACGGCCTCGCTGGCGGGGCGGCCAGGGCCCGCTTGCCACCTCCCGCGTTCCACCCAGGGTGCGCGCGCGGCATGAAGCGGCTCGCTCCGACGCAACGCGGCGCGCGTTGGCAACCGTGGATCTGGCCGTGCTGACGGCCAACGACGGCAACGGCGCCCGCCAGCCTCGCGCTTGCCGGCGCTGGACGGCCAGAGGGCGCATGTGGCGCGCCTCCCGCGAGGGCGACGCGGCGGCGGGAGCGGCCGCAGCCGGCGCCCTTTTGGCGGGCGCGTTTTCCACCCTCCCCCTCCTCCTCCTCTCTGCCACAGGGCGCGCGTCGGATGGTAAGACAACTGCGCCACCCAGCTTTCCTCGTCCTCCTAGGCCCCAGGGCGCGTTGTACTGCGTCGTCTCTTCCCCAGAGCTGAATGCCACCTCGCCCTACGCGAAGTAACTTTTCTCCAGCATGAGGCTCTGATATTGAGAACGTCCTCTATGATGACGTCGAGCCTTTTGTCGTGATAGTTGAGCGCCGCGGTGTCTGCGGCCTTCTGATCTTCGCTGGCGTTCGGGCTGTCCTCCTTCTGCGCCATCGCCTTGCGGAGTTCCCACTCCATTTCGAAGTTTACTCCTGGGTCTCCTTCAGCACTGTTTTGATCTGGCCGACCTTGTCGTACATCGTCTTTAACCGAAGTTCTGCAGTGTGACCTGCGCCAGCTCCGACGTCGACATACTACCTCCTCTGGTGCTTGGACCTTGGCCCTCTAGCTCGTGTCTGATAGTGTCTGATCGTACTCCCGAGTTCGAGCCCTCTTGCTGCTGGTCGCCCTGCTGCTCCCTGGGTCCAGGCGTGTCGTTGGGGCCCCCTTTTCCGTTGTGCACTCTTCGGGTTTTTGTGGTGTGGTTCCTCTTGGGTGGCCCCTTCCTTTGGCTACCTTGTCTTTTGCATCCGGCTCCAGCCGGGGGGCGCCCGTCTGGCCTCTTCCGTCCCGTTGTCCTGACGTTCCTCCTTCCGGTTGCCCTCTGTCGGTGCCGCATTCCTCTTTTTTTTCTTCGATCCGGTTTTGCCTTGGCCTTTGTGTTTCCCCACTATTACCAATTCCCTCCTCCTGCTCCTCCTCCTCCTCCTGCACCTCCTCGTTTCCGTCCGGTGGAGGAGGACGACGACACGGACGCTCCTGCCCAGCAACCTGAGCTCCCCCCTCGAAAGGGGGGGGAGAAGGAGGAGGAGGAGGTGGCGGAGGAGGAGGGGGACGACGACGACGTCGACGATGACGACGACGACGACGACGACGACGACGACGACGACGACGACGACGAGAGCGACAATGGGTCCCCGAAGGGGGGGACCGCGCCGTCGTGGAGCCGTTTGCGAGGGCCCCGTGGCCCTGAATCTCTGAGGCCGCCCGGAGAAAACCATTACACATTGTTCATTTTTCCCGACCTAGGCTCTGCCCAGAAGGGTTCTTACCGTGTATCTTAAAGGTGCCGTGCAGTGGGGCTCGCCCCGGGCGGTTCCCCCGGCATCCGCCCCGCGGTTTCCCCAGTGACGTCCCCTTAGCTTAGCAATGTTTATCTCATCTTAGCTTAGCTTAGCCTAGCCTAGCTTAGCTTAGCCTAGCCTAGCCTTGCCTAGCTCAGCTTAGCTTAGCTTAGCTTAGCCTAGATCAGTTTAGCTTAGCGCAGCGCAGCATTAGCATAGCATAGCATAGCATATCATATCATAGCACAGCATAGCGCAGCATTGCATAGCGCAGCATAGCATAGCATAGCTTAGCATAGCATAGCTTAGCATAACATAGCATAGCGCAGCATATCATAGCATAGCTCAGCTTAGAATAGCACAGCGCAGCGCAGCATAGCATAGCATAGCATAGCATATCATAGCATATAATAGCATAGCATGTCATAGCGCATCACAGCATAGTATAGCATATCGCAGCATATCATAGCACAGCGCAGCATAGCATAGCGTAGCACGGCGTAGCACAGCATAGCATAGGCAAAGGCAAAGGCAACGGCATAAGCAAAATCAAAGGCAACGAAGATGTATGTGCAGGTGTAGATGTAGGTGAATACGTAAATGTAGCTGTCGGTGTAGATGTAGATGTTGCTTTCCTAAGTGCTCCAACTCCTAGGTAGGGCCGCACTGGGATAATGCAATTCTTCGAAGGTTCTTAATTTTTTTGGGGCCAAGATCCTTTCATTTCTAATTGTCCTATCCTGGGCCTCTTCCTGGCCGCCAGGGGGCCAGGAACAATTAGAAGCGAGCACACTTAGAAATGAGCACGATCAGAAATGAACGACGTGTATCGATCGAGCCTCGACCGGTCGGTAGGTCCACGACGACGGCGAGAGGTCGGAGTTCCGTTCGAAATCTGTCCTCAGATTTTTAGAGCGGTGCCTGCCGCAGCGACGAGAAGGGACCGTGCAGACGAAGAACTATCAAGGCCAGCTCCACGAGCCGCGTCCAGCCGTGGCGACAGGTTGGGGCCCCCCCGAAGACGAGGAAACGGCGAACCTCGAGTGAGAAGGACGAGGAGGGCGAGTGCAAACCCAAGATTCATCAACGATGTTAGAATCAACCCTTCCCCCTATATCCGTCTCCATCGGCCCCTACAAGCATTCGTGTCCACTGAAGGAAGTCTCCCGTTAGGAGACAACTGTGTGAAGATCCTGAAGCGAGCCCGAACACCAGTGTCGGGAATTCAACGCCACGAATGAACCCGACGGTTGCGTCTTGGCGGTCCTGAACCGTGCCAGCACGCCAGTCTTGGGACTTCAGCATCGCGACTCAGCGTAGGTGTTGCGCCCTGGCAGTCCGGAGTCATTGCCAAGCACAGTTTAGGATAGGCTGACCATGAGGATCCGTGAGGCTCTTGCACATGTTTGAGACGACTGCGCGTGGCGCTAAGGCGAGAGGCACCTGTTGAAAACCACCCGCCCTCAATCCGTGAAGATCTTGCACATGGTTACGACGAATTCGCGTGGCGCTAAGGCGAGAGCCACATGTTGAAAACGACCCGCCCTTAAGCCGTGAAACCCATGCACAATTCGAAGACGACTGTGCACGGCGCTGAGACGAGAGCCACATTTTAAAATCCACCCGCTCTCAACCCGTGAGATCTTGCAAATGATTAAGACGACCGTGCGCGACTCCCAGGCCAGATCCACATTTTGAAAACGACCTGCCCTCAATCCGCGAATCCGCGGAGATTTGGATCATAAGTGGTGAGGAAGGCTCAGGCGAAACACCTGGCCCGCCCTTTCAAGCAGCCTTCGGGGGTGAAAGTGAGGAGCTGTTCATAATGAAAAGTCATGGAGGCAAGGAAGGAGGAGGAGAAGGAGGAAGGCGGCGGCGGCGGGGCGCCGAAGGTCTTCATCTACTTCTGGGACACCCGCGACGGGCTGGAGAACTCTGGCTGGTGGTTCGGGGACTCCGTCGGCGGGACGCTGGTAGCTCGGGCCCGCCAAAGCCGCCGTCGCCGTCGTCGCCGCCGCCACGACGTTGCTTCGGCGGCCCTCCTGCGGCTCCCCTGCGGCTCCCCTGCGGCCCTTCCGCGGCCATCGGGCGGCTTTTCGGCGCACTCTCGGCGGGCCCTTCGGCGGCCATCGAGCGGCTCTGCGGCGGCCATCGGATGGCGCTTCGGCGGCCCTTCGGTGGCCATCGGCGGGCCTTCGCCGCTCTTGCGTGGCCCTCGGCGGCCATCTGACGGCCCGTCGGCGGCCCCATCGGCGCCCATCGGCGAGTCCCTGGACCCCTTCCAGGGCCCATCCTGGCTGGGTTTTCAACCTGGCTTGATTTTTGTAAGGCCCTTGGGCCTGGAGCAGGCCCCCTGGATGCCAAGCCTGACGAGAAACTTCGGCGCGATTTTTTGCTCGATCCTCGACGACGACGACGGCGAAGCTGACGACGACGACGTCGACGGCGACGACGACGGCGGCCAAGGCGACGGCGACGGCGATGACCGCGGCGACGGCGACGGCGGCAAGGACGACGACGACGACGACGACGACGGCGACGACGTCGACGACGACGACGACGTCGACGACGACGCCCACGACGACGACGACGACGTCGACGACGACGGCGACGACGGCGACGACGGCGGCGGCGGCGGCCTCCGCACTTCCCCCCGAGGTGTGGGCGCGGGCGCCGCTGCTCGCGCAGATGGTGCCGCCCGTGGGCTGGAAGGCGCCGCGGCGCACGCCTCCTTGGCCGGCGGCGGCGGGTCGCCGCCGTCGACGGGGGGCCCCAGATCCGGTGGTTCCATACCCTCCTCCTCCTCCTCCTCCTCCTCCTCCTCCTCCTCCTCCTCCTCCTACCCTCCTCCTCCTCCCCCTCCTCTTCTCCTCCTCCTCCTCCCCCTCCTCCTCCTCCTCCTCCTCCTCCTCCTCCTCTCCTCCTCCTCCTCCTCCTCCTCCTCCTCCTCCTCCTCCTCCTCCTCCTCCTCCTCCTCCTCCTCCCCCTCCTCCGTAGCCATTTTGGCTCAAGTCCCATGCTGCTGCGGGCCGAGCCCGCATTGGCACCCACGGACACCGCTGGCCCGCGGCGAGCAAGGCCCTTGTGCCTGGCAGTCTTTCTCGTGTGCCTCTACCGTGGGAGCTGGGCCCCCACACCGCAGTTTCCAGTTGCCTCTCGCTTCCGCGGTATGGCCGATGATGCCCACGGCGAGGAGGTCCCCGCGTCGCTGGTCGAGCAGTTCGATCTCGTGGCGACCTTCCCCTCGCAGGAGACGGGCGCTGGCCGTGGGAATGGCGGCAAGGGCGCCTTGCCTCCTCCTCGCAAACGCGCTGCTCATGAGCACGCTGCTGCTGATGCAGCTGACGGTAACGACGCCTGGTCATCCGACGACTACCTCCGCCAGCTGTGCCGTGATGAGTTCGACTCCATGCGGGCCGCTCTCACTTCATCCGTCTCCGAGTCCGTCAGGGCCACCGTTGCTGAGAACCACTCGGTGCTGCTGGGATCCATCGACAAACTTCGGGAGCAGGTCTCTGGTCAGACCGCATCCATCGACCAGCAGGTTCAGAGTGTGGTTCGTCCTCAAGTCGACGCCCTGGCTCGCAGGCTCCAGTCGCAGATCGATGAGCACAAGAAGCAGATCGACGTATGTGAACGGCGACTGGGTGATCACGAAGACCAGCTCTCTGCTCTTCGTGCTGAATTGGCTGAGCTACGCCGCCATCTTGCCGTCGCTGAACAACGCCCCCAGGCCCCGCCACAGGTCCCCGCTGGCTTCGACAGGGACGCCGACTCCACCCTCCTCATCGCAGTGGCCCAGCGCGCAACTTCGCTCGAGGCCATGTCCGCCTGCATTCAGAACTTCCTCTCGGAGACGGGCTTCGACTCCAGCGAGTACGAGATTGTCTCCAAGGGTACCCTCCCGTGCAAACGCTTCGCGGTTCACTTCAAAGGGATGGTGCAACCAGCATCTAGAAAAGTCCTACGCGCCCTCTCAGCCCTCAAAGATGAGAACGGATGGAAGGCCTTCTTCGCCGATCTCCCCGGCCTGTCCGAGCGCACACGTGTCCACATGGGCCCCGACAAGTCCCCGAAGCAGGTCAAGATGGAGTACGTCCTCAGGAAGTGCCGCGCTGCCTTCGCCGCCGAGTTCTCGGCCCTACGCTTCTTCACTGATCGGGACCGCGGTTTCCTCTCCATCGGCTGGGACAAGATCCTCAAGGTTGAAGTGGAGGCTGGGGATGCTCCTCCTACTCTGCGCTGGGACGTCGCCAAGCTGGAGCGCCACGACATCACCAAGGCTCGCGCCATGCAGCTCACCTCTTTCCTCACGGTCTCGGCGGACGAGCCCGTGTGGTGTCTTTGACGCGCTGTCCCTCTTTTCATCTTCGCGGTCCTGTTCCTCGGGTTCGGCCACTGCCTTGCGAGTGGTTTCTTGGAACTGCAGGGCCCTCCTTCAGGCTGCTGGGGCCAAGGCAGCCATCAAGCTTAACTACCTCTCCAAGCTCGGCCTCGACAAGTCCATCGTCTCTCTGCAGGAGGTGCACCAAGACGCCCTCCAGCTGGAACACTTCGTGCATCGGGTGTGCCCGCGATCCACCGTCCTTTCGAGTTTCTGTGGGTCCGAACCTGCTGACCGTGCGCGTGGTGGCGTCGCAGTCCTGATCCCTCCTCTCGCGCATCTTCCTGAGGACCCTGTGCAGGTGGAGTCCCGTCCTCTGATTCCTGGGCGTGTGCTGATGGTTACCCTGCGCGCCGCTCGTGCCTGCGTCTACCTCTTCAATGTCCACAACCACGAGCTGGGGGCCTCTGCCATCACAAGAGTGCGTGATGCTATTCGTACTGCTCTCGCTGAGGCTCGTGCCGATCCACAGCGTGTCCTGGTGATTCTGAATGGGGACTTCAACATATCGGAGGAGTCCGCCATGTCCCTGCTGGCACCGGTCGCGGCGTCTCGTCGTGGTGGCCGTCGGCACCACGCTGCCGCACCTGCCTGGAGGCCCATCTTCGATGACATGCTGGAGATTCAGGGCAGCGAGCCGACCCACTACGAGCGGGCGGCGGGCAAGGCCAGCATCATAGACCGCGTCTTTCTCTCCTTGCAGGGCTGGCAGGTGTGCCAGTTGAATCTCACTTCCGCCACGATGGGGTCGGCGGCGGCGCTCTCGGATGCGAAAATCTCGGATCACACTGCGGTCATCGTCTCTCTTGCGTCCCGCTCCGCTCGTCAGCCTGCTGCTCGCCCTATCCCACGCAGTCTCTGTCGCGACCCTCGCTTTGTCCGACGTCTACGTGGTTTGGTGGCCTCTTCCTCGTGGGATAGCATGTCGCCACCGTTCAAGCTAGAGCATTACAAACATCTCATGCGCATTGCTGCGTCAGAGGTGCGCGACTCACTCTTTATTGACAATCCCGACAGTCTCGACACTTTGTTGCAGGTGGCACGAATGATTGCACGCGTGGTCTGGAGGCAAGACGTCAAGCTGGCCCTTCGGATGCTGGAATCTCACCCTCGTGTCCGTGATCACATCACCGTCCGCTCCTCCGAGGTTGCACTCATCCACCCCTCGTCTTTCTCAGAATGGGCATCATCCATCCAACGGCAAGCTGCGGAGGTGCGTCGGCGTGCTCTGGAATCCCAACTTTCTCGCCAACCTTCTGTTCGGGCCACCCGTCTTCAGTTGCGCGCGTTGGAGAGGAAGGCGAGGCTCTGGTCACCATTCTCTCGCTCTTTGGCTTTGTCGTCGATACGGGTTTCGGATGACTGTCTGGTTTCTGACCCCGTCGAGCGCGTGGAGGCCCTGGCGTCCTACTGGAAACCTGTCTTTTCGCGGAAGTCTTGGGATATCGATGCGGCTCGGGCTTATATCCCCTCCTGGCTCGACCCCGTGAACACCATCGATCTCCCGCCCCCGAACTTGGCACAGCTTCGACGGGCCCTCCGTGCGGCCCAGGACTCCGCCCCTGGCATTGACGGTCTACCCTACGCCTCTTGGGAAGCGTTACCTTTTGGTCTTCATGTGTTGATGGATGCCCTCGATTGGATTGGCGATGGTCAGGCTCTCTTCGATTGCTCCTCCATCACTATCCAGGCTTTTCTCCCGAAGCTCGTCACAGACGTTGAGTTGCGTGATGGGGAATGTACTCGCTCGCCCGACAAGGTTCGCGTCCTTGGCTTGCGGAACACAGACGTCAAGTTGCTGTCATCCGTCATGAATCGTGCTCTCCAACCCCTCATCCATCATATCGTTCCGCCTTGCCAACGAGGGTTCGTCGGTGGTCGCAACTTCGGAGTCAACATTCTGGAGCTGGATGCACACGCTCGCGAGCTTTCAGTGGGCCCCCCTGGGTCGCCCGACACCCCGCTTCTCTTCTCGCTCGATTTCGGCCAGGCGTTCCCCTCACTCAACCAAGAGTTTATGGCATTTGTTCTTCAGGTACTGGGGCTCCCTGAATCCTTCTTGGCTTTCGTTTCGTTTCTCTATGCGGCCATTCAGGGCGTGGCCTCGGTGAATGGGGAATTTGTGCCGATATTCTGGATTCGCAGTGGGATTATACAGGGTTGTGCGCTCTCGGGCTCTCTCTTCGCCCTCGCTACCTCTGCCTTCCTCAAGGACCTTGTGTTCTCCCTGGAGCCCTCTGGTCGTGGGATAGTTCGGGCCTGCGCTGACGATATTGGTGGTGCGACTCGGTCTGTGGCGGACCTCGTCCCTGTACATCGGGTGATGGTCTTGGCGGAATCGTTTGCTAACCTCTCCCTGAAGCTCTCCAAGTGCCTCCTGGTCCCCCTCTCGGGCGTCTTCTCTGAGGAGCTGGCTGCTGCTGTGGCCGAACAACTTCGTCTATGGGTCACCGAGTGGGCCTCCTTTGGCGTCGTGGAGGAGCTGCAATATCTGGGGCTCTGGCTTGGTCCCTCTGTGACCGTTGAACGGCAATGGCGTGCTCCGTTGGCCAAGATACAGCATCGGGCTCAAGCTATTGGCCGTGGGACAACCCCGCCCAGTCTATCGGCCATACTCTATTGCACACGTGCGGTCCCGACATTATCATATGTCGCCCAGTTCTGCCACATGCCGCTGGTTGTTCTTCGCCTGGAGCTCATGATCTTGGCGCAGGTCTTCCGGGTAGCCTTGGGCACGTTCCCGCTTTCCTGCTGGTCCCTACTTCACGCCTGGGGAGGTCCTCGCATCACGCGCTGGGCCTTCATGGGATGTGCGGCGCTTGCCCGTGCAGCTCTTCATACGTTCCCGCAGTACTACGACATCCACAATCGGCTCCGACATCATGTGGCTACTCATCCTGATTGGTGCACCCTGGAGATGCTTGGCTCTGGCAGATGCTACCCGCACTTCTGGCGCTCGGAGGCGTTCGTGGAGATCCTCCAGCGGGCTGCTGCTGGTACCCGCACTGGCTCACCGTCACCGTGCTGGTCTCCAGACTGGCCTGCTGTGGCTGCGGCCGCGGCGCGTGCCGCGCTGGCCGAGGATACAGCCCATCGTCCTCGCCCTCAGCGTGCTGCTCATGCTGCTCTGCGTGCTCTTGGCCCCGCCGTCTCGCCGCTGGTGTCCCTGCTCCAGACGCGCCTTGCCAAGCTGCTCCCACGGCACGCCTCCCTGGTCACCTCCCTCCCGTGGGACTCAATCGCGAGCACGTTGGCGTCCTGCCCCTGCTCCTGGGCCTGGGCTGCGCTTCGTACCTGGGCTGGCGGCTGGATGACGTCGTACCGCATC